TTAGCAGATGCTTTTACCTAGAGCAACTTTGTTATTTACTTGGTGAATGTATCCTAGACAGTGCAAATAAGTTTGTCCAAACTACACTTGAGCTCAGACACTGCCAGAAATAAAGGCCAGTGTCAATACCTAGAAAGAAAGATACAGAATTAAACACAGCATAAATGCAATACTATGGAAGAGAGAGGCCATGAAGTATGTATATTTTTCTGGACTGTTATCTTGAGATTGCAACTTAGTTGTCTTGTGATCTCAAGGTAACAAAAGCTGTTTTCTTGAGATCACAACTTATTTGTCTTGTGATCTCAAGATAACAAAGTTGTTTTCTCAAGATCGCAACTTATTTGTCGAAGAGAAGTTGTGATCTTGAGAAAACAACTTTGTTATCTTGAGATCACAAGACAAATAAGTCATGATCTCAAGATAACAGTACAGAAAATTACAACTATCTCATGTCCTCTCCAGACTTCCATACAATAGAGTGCATATCAATAATTAGTGCTATCTTAAGTGCTTTACAATGAGATGGGTCTTCAGTTTGTGTTTGAAGACCATGAGGGATTTTCGTTGTTCAGGCAGTCAGTGTTTGTTCTGCCACCTGGATGCCAGGACAGAGACGAGTCTTGATGTTTGTCTTTAATATGTCTTGAAGTATGGTGGGTCAAGCCAAGCTGTACTTAAAGCTTGAAGTGCTTGAGGAATGGATCAAGTTTTGAGCACTGCCATAAGATAGGGAGGGGCTTGTCCATTTTTGGCTTTGTGGTCAAGCTTCAGGGTTTTAAATCTGATGCGGGCAGCTCCACTTATACTGTTTTGTTTTGTGTCTGTGCTGTTATCCGGTGTCGACCAGAGGAGGATGGGTTCCCCTATTTGAGTCTGGTTCCTCTCAAGCTTTTTTCCTCCTGTTGAGGGAGTTTTTCCTTGCCACTGTCGCCAAGTCTTGCTCACTGGGGGCGTGGACCCGGATTCTTTGTAAAGCTGCTTTGTGACAACATCTGTTGTAAAAGGCGCTATATAAATAAATTTGACTTGACTTGACTTGACTACAGGAAGCCAGTGAAGGCAATGCAGCAGTGGATTGACATGAGTGAAATTAAGAAGATTGAAGAGAAGACTTGCTGCTGCATGCTGGATCATGTATGCATGTATAAGAACTGTGCCTAGGCAGTGGGCACTCCCTCAGGTTTCCTCTGAGGACCACAGATTAAAGAGCTGCCTTTGTCAGAGATGATTACACAGGACAAACAAAATAATGTAGTTCTGAATGATCATTTTTAGTAACTTAAAAATAAATAAATAGATTCAGTAAAGAATGTTTCTAAGTTAGGAATTCTAACTTTATTTACATAATATTTGCAAATCATGTACTGTAAAATTAGAGGCTAACTAATAACAATGACTATCACCAAAAAAAAAAGCCTACTTTGTGTATTGCTGGTGATTTGGCGCTAATGATAACCTGTTTGGGGTTCCAATTAATTACAATTTAAATTACACTTGTTCTTTATTGTCTGTTTCTTGTTTTTCACACAAAAAAAACATTTTCCCCCTCAGTCCAGCATCTGAGCAACAACATAATGGAAGAGTTAGAACTTCAAGGCTGTGTGGCCCTAAGCAGGTGCTTATGTCGCTTGTTAGGTAGAGCTGGCACTGGGTATGGGCAAAAACGATGCAAAGTTTTGTGCTCAGGTGCAGGCAGGAATAAGTCAGTGTAACAGTACTCTGATCCAATGATTAATTTCAATTCACTGTACAGAGTTCATGATGCATTTTTCTCATTCTGGCCCCTGCACAGACATTTTGAGAGGCAGGGCTCAAAAAGGAAAAGGTCAACCTGAACATGAATTAAACCTTATTTGCAGCATTTTGAAAACATTTTATCAAGAAAACCAATATTACCATGTTTCAGAGGAAACCAAATGTGGTGTTAAAGGTACCATAGAATGCATTTATTCAGTATTTTGAATTGTTTTCTCATGTCTGCATAGAAGATATGTGACATTTGTGGGGTCAGGAAATGCCCTGATGTATTTTTACACACCCATTTACAACCAACCCTGTGATTTGGCCCTAGAAGGAAATTAGCTGTTTTCCCTTTTTTGGTGGGCTCATGAATAATTTGATGAGCTTTGCTCTGATTTGCAGGTTTACAGCGAGGCCCAGCAATGGCTCACACAGAAGCAACATGTTGAAACAGAAACAGGCAGGAAAATGAAATGAAACTCCATGTAAATAAGCCAGGCATCATGCCATTTAGTCACTCATACTAGCTACTTGCTTTCGACCTTGACAACAACTCAAAGTAAACTCACTATGAAACTTTCAATTTATGATTGAACCAGCTAAAACTGGATAAAATCACACAACATGGCTGCTTTATTAGTGTTGCTCTTGGGGTTGTGATGCTAATAAAGGTAAAAAAGGTAATAAAAGAGCTGCCCCTTCATCTCATCAGTGTAAAATGCTGAGCGAATCCTGCTTGACATTGTCCAAGGTTTGTCAAACTGTCCGGAGTGAAATGTGCAGAGTGAACTAACAACGTTGAATTAAAGTTCTCTGGGATCCTGTTAAAGATGTGAGAGCTGTTCACCAGCTCGATTTGCGTATCTTCCAATTGGAATGTCCATTTAACAAGCAGGTAAATAGGAAGCCTCGTTTAAACTTTAGCCTCGTTTAAAGATGAACACCAGCCATGCCTATTCACAGTTTGGTTCCTTGGGAAGGATATGAAAAGTGCTGACATCCTGTCACAGCCTGTCACACATTTCTGCACATAGTTCACCATTTTCATTGCTGGTGCTCCATTGTCGTTAATGTGGGCTGGTGACTGTAAATTTTGGGGGCATAACTATAAAGACTGTTATATAATAGTTTTTCAGGGGGGATTTCCAGCACTATGGGAAATCATGTAGCCGTGACAGGTTGGAGTTACTGAGACGAGATTTCCACAGGTGGCCAGTACTGCACCAGAGGGGACGTCCAAGAGTAATGATGCTTGTACATTGGCTCTGTCCTCGGAGAGAAGCTGAACCAAGCTTGTCTTTTAAAAAGGCCGTAGAAAACACCATTGTTGCACATGCCGACCACAGCAGTCCTAGGGCAAAGCCCCCTGGGGTCTGTCTCTGCCTCTTCTCACCATACTTTTAACAGAAGTTTGATAAAAAAAAAATCACCACAATATCCATGTTAACCTTGTAAATGAGGCTAGAGCTGGGAGGAGGGAGGAGGGCGGTGTATGGTATGAGTATGCTGGTGTGAGTTGTTGATTAGCGCTGTATGTTAGCAAACTTTGGTGTTCAAACAATGCAGTTATGTGATGCTATAATCCATAGAATAATTCTCTATGAAGCAGAGTCACATTTTTGTATCACTATATCACAATGTCACAATGCATTGTTACACAGCAGTTGAAGATGCATTGCTCCCATTAGACAAGCGCCACAATAAATTATAACAATACAATGTTTAATTAAAACAATAAAGTGTTTTGAAGTCAGGGTGGCATGTGGGTAGCACAGTTGCCTCATAGTAAAAAGGACCTGGGTTCGATTCCCCAGCTGGGCGACTGAGGTTCTTTCTGTGTGGAGTTTGCATGTTCTCCGCATGTGTGCGTGGGTCCCACAGTCCAAAGACATGCAGTCAGGTAAATTGGAGATGCTAAGTGGAACCTAGGTGTGAATGTCTATGTCTGTGTGTCTGCCCAGAGAACTGCCTTCTGCCCAATGCTGCAGCACTCCTGCGACCCAGGAGGATAAGCAGATTACATTGTGTGTGCTGAAGTTCTGTGAATGCAAACAAAACTTTTGTATAATGGGTCATAAAAACAAATTTCCCCTAAGCTTCTGAGAAATCTGTGCATACATGTTTACTGTATATTATACTGTTCTCTTAATGTTTATGGTACATTTTTCATTGTTTTGGGACTTTTCGATTGCTCGGTGTAACAGGGGTAGTATATGATCCGAATCCATGCCTGTGCCTTCCAAATGATCATTTTACACTTAATCAGCATACATTAAAGGGCCCATATCCTACATTTTTCTTGCAATTAATTTTTTTCCCTGAGGTCCACTTATAGTTTGTGTGATTTTATGTACCAAAATAGCCATACATTATTTCTCCTCAACCATTTTCCAGCCTCTTTTTCTCCCCTAAAATTAAACAGGCTGTTTTTTGTAACTGTGCCTTTAAGACTATATATAAATTATGTAAAAGTGTGGGTTTTCCTGACATCATAGAAACAATGAATGCATAACAGGCTGTTTTTGCAGCTTAGTTTCCATACATGAGCTATACTGACTGGAGAGTAAACAGAAATTTTAGCAAGGTTTATATTGTGATCCAACAAAAAAAAAACACAACTTTTTTTTTCTACATCATTTGAGCACAGCAGTGTTCCTAAAACAGGAATATTCAGTTTTCCATGATATGGGACCTTTAATATTTGCTAGTATTACAGCTGCTAAAAAGACAGCCCTACAACTCTGGTAGGCCACACTCCTAATCTCAAATTCTTGCTGGTTTCTGTAAAATAGTGAATAAAGTATGTCTTAAAACAGTACAGACTTGGATGGACATTGTTGCTGTCCTAGATGATTAGTTACTGCTATTATTATTATTATTATTAATAATAATAATAACAATAATAATAATAACTTGATCTCATCCTCTTTTATTGAATAGTTTATCGTCTGTTGGATAACCAGTGTCTTGGCCTGTAATTCTGCTTATTGTTGCATACAAATTGTTTGATCACAAAAGTTAAATAAAGTTGATATAAATTAAATCACAATAAAAAGTGTTAAACTGACCCCGATCAAAGAAAATCAGCCAATAGCAGCAGGTAAGATATGATTCCAAAAGATTTCCAGTTAATCACATGATTTAATGATTAGAGAACAGAAACCAAGAAAAAATGTGACTGAGAGTGAAAGTACATTTACTGTTTAGTTCAGTAGGATAATTCTTAACAACCTATATATTATTTCTACATTTAACAGGAGAAGATTTGATGACTTTCTGGTGATTTCCTGAATGGTTCATGATGATGGACTGGGCAGGTCTTTATGAGTAGATGGTAAGTTGAGTTCTTCATTGTGGCAGATTTAAGGCAGAGTCTGTGACAATAGATGCATTCAAAACTGCTCGAGGACTTTTCTGTTCTTATACTCTGTTGAGAAAACAGAGATAAAAAGGTGTTGCTGCTCTGTGCACTGTTTGTTACAAAGGTCATAAGCCATCTCCTCTACCTTTTACATGGTTTACCTGGATGAAGACTCACAAACATGAGTACTTTGACTGGAACTGGATTATAAGATTCTAAAAACCTGAACTGAGCTTTTTCACCACAAATGGTCTTCATAAAACAACATCCACCACTATACATTATAGTGTGTGATGTCCAAAAAAAATCACAAGGAAGTCAAGTTGTAGGACATACAAATTGTTTGATAAACAAAGAAGACATTATTCAGTTTTTTTGTAACAATGTTACATCCACAGTGGAGCAGTGGGTAGCGCAGTGGGTAGTGCTGTCGCTTCACACCAGAAAGGCCCTGTGTTTAATGATTTATTTGAATTTTCTGTTTTGGTGAATTTAGCAAAATTAATGTCTTTGAAAAAATCTTTAAAAGTAATTGTTAAAATAGTGTCTGATTATGTTCCAGGATCTATGATATCTAAATTAAAACTACTAACACAGTTACACCCAGTTGCTGTAGTGTTGAAAGTGAAATGTTTCCCTATTCTTGCTTGGTATAGGTTTTCAGCTGATCAATGGATTGGGAACTCCTTTGTTGTATTTTTTGTTTGATAATGCAGCAAATGTGTTCAGTGGGTGACAGGTCTGGACTGCAGGCAGGTCATTTTAGCTCCTGGACTCTTTTACTACAGAGACATGCTGTTGTAATACATGTGGAATGTGGTTTTACATTGTCTTGCTGAATAAGGAAGGCCTTCCCTGAAAGAGATGGTTGGCAGCATATGTTGCTCAAAAACCTACATATATCATTCAGCATTAATGGTGCCTTCATAGATGTGCACTAACGCACCCCCATACTATCACAGATGCTGGCTTTTGAACTGTGTGTTGATAACAAGACAGATGGTCCCTCTCCTCTTTATCCTAGAGGATGTGGCACCCATGATTTCCATTAGGAATTTAAAATTTTGATTTGTCAGACCACAGAACACTTTTCCACTTCACCTCAGTTCATCTTAAATGAACTCAGGCACAGAGAAGGTGATGGCGTTTCTGGATCGTGTTTATATATGGTTTCTGCTTTGCATGGAGTTTTAGCTTGCATTTGTGGATGCGGTGATGAACTGTATTCACAGACATTGGTTTTCAGAAGAGTTGCTAAGCCCATGCTGTGATTTCCACTCCAGAATTATGTCTGTTTTTAATGCAGTGCATCCTGAGGGCCCAAAGATCACAGCCAGCAAATATTGGTTTTCAGCTTTGTCTCTTGCATACAGAGATTTCCCCATATTCTCTGAATCTTTTAATGTTATTATGTATCGTAAATGATGAGTTCTTTGCTATTTTATGATGAGAAATGTTATTCCTGAATTGTTGCACTATTTTTCCACACAGTCTTTCACAGAGAGGTGAACCCCTCCCCATCTTTATTTCTAAAAGACTCAGCCTGTCTGACATGCTCTTTTTGTTATCAATCATATTATTGACCTCTTGCCAATTAACCTAATTAGTTCTGAGATGTTTCACTAACTAGGTTTTTCTTTAGCATTGCACAACTTTACCAGTCTTTTGTTGCCCTGTTCCAACTTCTTTGAAATGTGTTGCTGGCATCAAATTCAAAAATGGGCATACATTTTTCAAAAAACAATAAAATGTCTCAGTTTGACCATTTGATATGTTATCTCTGTACCATTTTCAGTTAAATATAATGTTTAAATGATTTGCACATCATTGCATTCTGTATTTATTTTTATTTTGTCCAGCGTCCCTTTTGGAAATGGGGTTGTTAGGGAAAACTCACAAAACATGATGGCTTTTATGAGGGTCACCTTCTGCTTTTACCAAAAAGTGTCCCATTTATGCTTAGTTCATGAAACAAGTTAATGTTCATGACAGTTCTGCTCAGGGGATTGTGGGAGCAGCAGTGAACTGAAGCACGAGATGGGAGCAAAAAAAAAATATGTTGAGAATGTCATTCAAAGGATGAGTGATTTTTTTCATGACACATTTAAACAGTGTGACCTAAACAAAAAGCAACAGTAGAGTTTTTCTCCATCTGCTGAATGTATTCTGAATACGTTACTTTTTATGAGTTGTAAAGGAATATCTTATTGAATACATTTAGGACAGTGTATGCAATATTCCGCCATCACTTTTTCAAAGTATCCTGCCCTGAAAATTTGTTGTTTTCTTGTTTTGTTAAAAATGAATGTCAAATAATTCCTTAAAGCAGTACTATGTAAGATAAAGATATTAAAACTGAAAGAAGTATCATTGCTGAGTCAAGAGAAAATAAAACAAACAAAAACTTGCATAATAATTTAAAAGTCAGAGAGATTTGGTCGGATTTTACAGGAGTACTAATGTCACATGCACAAACTCAAAAAGATGGTTTGGTTTGATGTTCAGGTCTCAAATGCAAAATTATGTTATACTGATAAACATATGATGACAATAGTCGATAATTAACTTTCTTAGAGGACACATCCTTCGCTAAGGAGTTCTCTTTGACTACTCTTGCATTACATTCGCAATCATCATATTCATCCATTTGGGGAAGGGCTCCATAGCACAACACACATTACAGAATGTTCTTCTGCACATGGCATGCAATTCTAACACATTTCCAGTGAGGTCTACAATTCGGCGAGGCCACAAAGCATTACAGAGGGGGCACTAGAGGCATGCAGAACTGTGCTATGTGCCCTGCCTTCCTTCGCCAAAGGGACGTTAAATGTTGATTTTTTTATTTTGTTAATGTTTTTGTTCTTTGGTTAAAGTGTGTGTGTGTATTGCATGTGTATTAATGTGTCGGGATGTGGGTTCAGCTAGTGCGAGGTTGTGTCTTAACCATGGAGGAGATGTGTAAGACTAGTAGTGACCTGCCTTCTATTCCAGTGGCTTTGCCAGTGCCTTTTATGCTGGTTTAAATAAAGTGCACTTCTCGTAACAGAAATCATAGCTTCTCCCATTGTCCTTCTTTGCCACAATGCAACATTATGTTGCTCCTATCAAACAGCCGTAGATTCAAGTACCAGGATAATGTTTTGAAGTTTGCCACCGCCAATAGCAGGGGTGGGCGAGGTTCATTTTACAAATATGTGATATTTACTCTAATACATAGCTGAACTGACATATCAACAAACCTTCTTTTTTTTTTTATCTCTTTCAGTGTCACTTAAGAAGCTGTTCTATTCTATGAGTGGTAACTGCCATGCGATTATATGATCTCATTGCATGGTTAGTATTATTAAAACCCATTGCCCTGATGCTATGCAGAGCATGTCGTACTGCTGAGTATAATGTTAATGGAGAGTGCTGCCCAATGTGTTCTGCAGGTAAGACAGTTCTTAAGAGTTTATTTGATTTCATTTGCAAATAAAAACCTGGATAAAATATCAGCTGTAAATTTCTGTGTGGGGAAATTACAGTGGTTTTGTGAACCATACAAGAATCTGACTGTAATAAATGGTTAATGTAAAGGAACAAAACTTGAGAGTGGACTTCTGTTTTTCAGGGCAACGTGTATATAAACACTGCTTAGGAGATTCCAGCACAACGTGTTTGCCTTGCATACAGTCAACCTACACGGAGGCTCCAAATGGACTGATAAAGTGTCACTCCTGCTCTGTATGTGATGAAGGTAAATACAGGCCAATTTACTGAACTTCTTTATTGTTAGTAATTGGGAACATAATTCAGGATTAATATACACAGAGACAGTGAGTAGACAGTTTAATTCAATTCCAATCCTGTGGTGAAACTTTATTATTTTCCACTCACAAATGTATTTTTCTTTCAACTGTTTCTAGATTAGATAAGCTTTACACAATGTTGGCATCAATCTCATTCAACTATACGACTCAATACTTGGTACACGGTCAGAATCAGCCATCATAAAGTATATTCAAAGAATATTTAACCGTAGTCTCCAACAACTGAGTCTAAATATCCTCTTGCCTAGGAACCACTGTCTTTGGCTGAACAACTGACTCATGCACAGCATGTTGATGAGTGATAATGAGACCGGATTTGCTCCTCACACTCACACTGCAAATCTTCTAGATAAGTAGGTCTACGAATAGATTGTTGAGAATGTCTTACCTAACATATCCGGCTCAAGGGACCATGAAAAATCTTACTCCCTAGTGAGGTGTTCCAGTTAACCAGCACACTATGCTGTTAGGCATGAGAGGATGGATCCAACACAAACATGTTTAATGTGATGATGCTTATTCCTTCCAACCTTCAGTCCAAGCAGAGTGGTTAACTACATGATTACAAAGAAAGTTACAATTACAAACATCCATCCATCCATCCATCCATCATCTAAACCGCTTATCCTTCTGGTTCGCGGTGGGGTGCTGGAGCCTATCCCAGCTGTCATTGGGCGGAAGGCAGGATACACCCTGGACAGGTCGCCAGTCCATCGCAGGGCAGACAGACAGACATACACATTCACACACACACTCACACCTAGGGGCAATTTAGCATGTCCAATTGGCCACAATTACAAACAAATGTATTAAAATATTTAGGAAGAAGTACAGAAATGAAATACACAACTCGGACTAAAACATTCAAAACTTACAGAATCCAAGACACAGCTCAGCTCAGCCACAGCAAAAGCAGATTTACATTATACAGTTTTAGCAGAAGGTAGGGTCTGTGCAACCACCCATGTTTCCCACGAAACAAAGACTGAAGAACAAAGGCAGTGAACTATGAGAAAAGAGAGAGGAATAAACACACAAAAGCTTTTGAAACTATTTGATTAAAACTAGCCACAATAAATCCTCACACTATTTACAAATTTAACAGTAGAAGAACAGAACAAAACAACCACAGAGCAGCAGAGCATGTACAAAAAACCAAGCCACTGTGCTCTGAAGCAATGTCTTGATGCTTGGTTCATTTTCCAAATGCACACATGAGCTGAAGCTTTGTTTGAGACACAGCCATGTTACTGCTTTGGAAACTGATTCAAAAGAAGCTAACTGGTACAGATGTCCATGGTTTAAAGCCAATACCAAACACTTACACCTTTATTTCATAAATAAATAAATAAATAAATAAATAATCACCTTGACTATAAAGAATATGTAAAAGACTGAAGTAATGTTATATGTAAAGAAGGTTATGCATTTGTCAGGATATTTGCCATCAGTACCGGATGTAAACTATCTTGAGCTTCTAAGGTGATGTAATTTTTTATGTAACACACCGGCATCATGTTTATGTTACTAATTACCTTTATTGTTTTAGAAACTAATTGCATGCTTTTAAGTCACTACAAGATAAAGATTTGAACTTTAATCCTAAAACACCCTCCAGGACAGAGGGAATTTACAGCTGCTGTTCATGCTTTTAACCAGCAGGTGTCATTAATGTGCACTGGTTTTCAAAAGCTTTGAATGATGAACCCTTTCCATCCCAGTTTAAAGGAAAGCTTCACTGCTGCAGAAAGCTTCATTTTGCCATCACTAATGGATTTGTTAGGATTTGTCTTATTATTATTATTATTTTTCTCCTGAAAAACGTATTGTGGAAAAAAGACTAAGAAACCTCAAACATGATGGGTAGGTGTAGTTTGTGTGCATCTCGCTAGGCAACAAAAATCACCACAATTGGCCAAAGGGGGGCGCCATAGCTGCATAAAGGCTGCATAAGGGCTTATTGTGCTGCATGCCTAGATTGCTACTTGGGGATAAATTTATTTTTAATTTGGCTGGTCTATGATGCAGCACTGTAAAAAGAAATAATGCATTTAAAAAGTCAGTAACATGCTTAACATAATGTTTTAATAATTGAAATAACAAGTTAACATATCATACAAATCATTCTGTTAACTTAATATTAGAAGTTTAATGAACTTCCCTGGAGTTTTTTCTTAAATTTGTTCTTGAGAAAAGTCCTAAGAAAAAGTCTAAGTCAGATTAAGTGTTCTTAAACTGCAGAATTGTTCCTACCTAAGAACAAATCCCCAATAAGAAAACACTGGTGAATGTGTGAATCTTCGTGAAAACTAGGCCCAATGAATGAGGCCCAATATTATGTTTTATTGTGACTTTGGCTAAGAGAATGTACTGGAAATGTGCTAGTGTGTTTAATATGTTCATTCAGCCACACAGTGTGAGCATCACATTAAAAACAATGATTGACCACTGGTCATTTTGGCTATAAAGAAATCAAAATTGGAACCACCAAAAAATTGTGATCATTGCATCCCTATTAAATACCTTAATTTAAAGTGTGATATTAGCAAATTTCTACATCTTAGAAATGTGTGTGTATTGGAATGAGCATCAGTATCGACATATATGTATGTGAATAGCCCTCATATCAGCGCATGCCTAACAAATATAAAAAAATCTGTCTGCAACACCAGCCTCAGATCATCAGTTCCTATGACTAGAACAACAGAATATTGCATTAAGTACATTAAGAAAGTGTCTAGCCCAGCCCTTCCTGCTCTAACACACCCACTTCAACCCCGTAAGAGGTTGTTCATGAGCTGATGAGTTGGATCAGTTGTGTTGGGAGCAGGGGGCTACCAGGACTGGAGTAGGGAAACACTCATCTTGCCAGTGGAGTAACCCAAATTGGCTTTTTTAATAGTGTGCAACCAGGCGTGACAACCATGTATGTGTATGTGTGTGTGTGTGTGTGTGTGTGTGTGTATGTATGTATGTGTATATATATATATATATATATATATATATATATAATCATTTTTCCTTTCCCAGGTATTGGGTTAAGAATAAAGCAAGAATGTCGTTCAACTGCAGACACAGTGTGTGAGCCTCTGTCAGGATATTATTGTGAAGAAACACACGGCAAGACATGCAGAAAAGCCAGACAGCACTCCACCTGCCTTCCTGGACAATATATCAACCAAACTGGTCAGTACTGTGCAATCCGCTATGATCACAGTGAAGCCACAGAAAATTCTTATCTTTTTGTCTTAACTTAAGATCTGACAGGTGAAGATAAGATTTTTCACAAATTCGTATTACAAAAGCAAATCTTATCTTAATTTAGGAATCTTATCCTACAGCATCTTTTCTTATCTCAAGTTAGGAAATCTTAACCTACTCTATTGAAGTCGACAATCAACTGTCGTGTCTGTTACCTAGCAACCGACCATACGCGCACAGCTGAAACGTAAACACGTAATCAAGCTAGGTAGTCAGACAGCTAACATTAGCTATCGTTACTGATGTAAAAAAGGTCAAATAAACCAAAGCGCGATAACCTGAAAGTTAAGAATATTGTGACAGCGCTTTGTGCTGTTTATCAGAGCCGCTCTCCAGTTTCAGTTTGTTTCCCAAACGCTTTAGCCGAGCGCTAACGTTATTCCTCCTAATAAACAGACACAGTCAGCTCTGTCTCCTCATTATTCACCACCACCACTGTAAAATTTTATCAGACGAGCTTTCATCAACATCAACACACACAGGTAATAAGAGGGGACGGTGGAGATCGTGTCTGCAGCGCCTGGGGCTTTTAAACGCTGTTAGAAAAAAAACTCGCAAGTCAAAGCACCGTTTTCAGTGTAGAGAAACGTCGCTAACGTCATTATGCTACTTACAGTGAACTGTGCTGTCTATCATTGCATAAAACAATAGATCTAGAAAATCTGGGGTTGTCTTAAAGTTAAGAAAATATTTAGGATATTTTGGCAGCATAGGATGTTTCTGTAATACCGTTTTCTTATCTGGTAATAAGATAGAGGCTTCTATTGCTCACACCTTTAACTCTGCATTGTTTTCCATTTAATTACTGAATAATGAACCTGGGGCCGTATTACAGAAAATCCTTAAGTCTGAGATCTGCTTTGTTGTCATGGTAACTTCAGTTAAGACTGAAGTTAGGACAGAAGCCATTACAGAACAACAGTTCTTAAGTCTATAATCTTATTTCCAGATAAGAAAACGGTATTACAGAATCATCCTAAGTTGCCAAAATATCCTAAATATTTTCTTAACTTTAAGACAACCCCAGAGCGTCTTAACTTCTGTTTTAATAGTCTGTAGTCTATCATTTTGTAGTCGGTGCCATGCTCTTATGCCCATATTAGGAACTCCGGGTCTAAGCTCCATTTCTCTATGGGCAGCCTGAGACCCGGAGGTCCTAATACGGACATAAGAACATGGCGCCGACTACAAAATGACGACACGACTACAGTGGTCTATAACATTAGCGCGCTCGGCTAAAGCGTTTGGGAAATGAAACTAAAACTGGAGAGCAGCGACACTCTGATAAACAGCACGAAGCACTGTCACAATATAAAATAACGTTCAGGTTATCGCGCTTTAGTTTATTTGACTTTCTTTACACCAGTAACAGCAGCGCATGTTAGCTGTCTGACTAACTAACTTGATTACGCGTTTACTAGATTCAGTTGTGCATGTATGGTCGGTTGCTAGGTAACAGACACGACAGTTGATTGTCGACTTCAATCGAGTAAGTTAAGTGTTCCTAACTTGAGAAAAGATGCTGTTAGATAAGATGAGATTCTTAAATTAATGTGGCCTTAATCACTGTTGGCAACAGCCCCTATGTGCTAAAGGGCCCCAGCTTCTACCCTGGAACAATACTCTACCGCAGTAAAACCTCAGTCACTTCTCAATAAGGCACACAGAATACGGTATGAGGCTGATACACTGGACAACTTTATTTAACAACTAGCTCAATAAATAAAAAATAGTAGCAAGACTAAATATTCAGTCAAAAGTTAGAAAAAATATACTTTTATATGTAAGACAGTGAACAACTCTTGACTATTGCAGAAAAATAGTTGGTAATATCCCTTAAAAATGCAGCTTAAACTATGGCTTAAAAAAAGAACAGACCTTGGTGCTGTAGGCCCCACAAACATACAATATGCAAAAACAAAACAAAACAAAAAAAAAAACACCAACACACAAATACACTACCAAAAAAGTAATCAAACAAACAACCCAAAAAATACACTCACTCCAAATGGTGACTCACCAACTTAGTGGGATAAGCCAACCTATTTAGACAGGATTCTGTTAATTTAAAACAGCCTTAAGCGCTTAGGTGCATTCTTTCAGGAGCACACCCTTAGTTAAGAAGATGCAACCGGTTGGGGCACCTATAGTCTCACTAATCAGTCTGAAAAACTAAGGAAAAAGCAAACAAGGAGGAAACACTAAAAGGAGACACTAATGAGAAAAAGCTAAGGAGGAAAAAACAGTGACCATCATCACCAGTAGTACTGATCAATCTGTAATACAGATAAACATACAATTAGCTCTTTAACAGTACTGACTGAGCCCAACATTTAAAACTAAATATATTAAATAAGCTTGTGCCTGTTGAATAACAGCACTAGTGGCACTCAGTGCCTGACTTCTCTTTGTCTCACCACACACAAATGCTCTGAATGCTCTGTAAACATGAAGGGAGCATGTATTTCAAGTTTTAACTAGATACTACCCATAAAACAATAGCATACAGCCGCACACCACTTGTTCCTAGATCACCCATGTTCACTCTAAAAACAAAATAAATAAAAACATACTTTAATATTTGAGCTACAATTGGAAAACAACCACTTGCACTACTGCAATGAACTATTGCTACCAATATGCTATTTTCCCATTATGTTACAGAGCATCAACGCTATTAGCCCCCCCCTACTTAAAAAAGTATGAACTTTTCCACTGTAAAAATGAATGTAATTTATCTTTAAAACTCATTCAACACTTAAAAGGCCAGAATTTCATAACTATTTGGATGGCCACAGAGGTCATTTTGACCACTTGAATCTTAAATGCTAAATTATAAAACAACAGAGAATAACTGAATACAACCCAAGTGATATTATTATATACTAAGGCTTTTATTCAGTAACTATATGGATTACAATGCAATACATATTCTTAGGGTATAGAAGTGTGTAGTAAAACTTTAGGCCCGCTGGTGGCAATTTAAGGGGTTAAATAGAGTTTAGATTATTATTAACCACAGTTTTTCTATCTGAAAAGTTGTTACTTGCAAGTTAATTACTTTCACATGTGAACACAAATAACAAGCAACCACCTTTAGCACTATGTGTTACATCTCTCCTTTGTCAATTTGTAGCAGTGTTGCACTGAATCTACTTGCAGTAAACCAAAACTGTACAACATTTTTAGGGTTTTATGCCATAGCCTGTATTGTCTGACCTGCCATGTTTTATTGCTGCTGTTTTTTACTGTTCTGGACTACACTTTGTAAACTGCTTACTAGTTCCTTTCAGTTATTCTGTGAGGTAAATGAGATTGATGGGGCTGCTGAATAGTCACTGCTAAAAATGCTGGGAGAGCAGGAAAAAAGAGCCCATGCAAATGAGACATTGCCATCGTCAAAATGTGCACTTTGTCCTATTGAGGTAGAAATAACCACTGCCAAATAACATCCAACTGGCTAGTTCCTTTTTTTAACTTCACATTGCTATTGGTTTTTAGTTTTTAGTGTTCTTAGTACAACTGTGTGACATTATGTGTCATCTATTTATTACATCCCAGCCAAGTTACTAACTTCTCTATGTGTGTTTGTATCTTTACAGGTACAGCTTTTACAGATACTGTATGTAAAGACTGCTCAGAAGGTTCATATTCAGATGGCTCTTTCACATTCTGCAAACCACATAGAAAGTGAGTGTAATCCTGACTTATTATCTGCATCCAGTGGGATTGTTCTTATAGATCTAAAAGCAATTTATTCTCTTCCTGCTCTTCACAGGTGTGAATCTATGGGGCATATAACAACCACACCGGGAACAAAGTCAGCAGATTCTGAATGTACAGATAAACGTTCTCATTTTCTCTACTTAGTCGCTTCTTTACCTGTGTTGGTAATATTAGGGTTGACGTTATGCATATTGTATTTAAGAAGAAAAAGAAGGATGGAAATTGAAAATTAAGCTCATTCTCTATCAACTCCTGCACAGAATGATGCACGCAGACCATAACATAGTTCTAAATAGAACCATTTCATGCTTAAATACTTAAATTCTACATAGCACCAAAAACGTTCTTCTTTTGATACAAGACCAAGCATACATGCATATATACAACACAATTTCCATTAATCTGAAGAACAATTTAACTATATATGTATATATACAGAACCATGTGTAGAGCTTTAGAAATGGTCAAATTAAAACTGTGTGTATTTTTAATGCTATGTTTTTATTTATTAAAAACTTTATTACTTTAATTTTTTATTATTTTTATTATTTAACTGTTTTACACTATTGTGTCTGTCTCCTTTTATGGTGCAGGAACAGTGCTTTTTTCACTTGAACTCAAAGCTGGAAAGCAAATGAAAAATCTACTAATGTAACAGATAGGGGTGGGAATCTCTAGGCACTTCACGATTCGATTCGATTATGATTCAGAGGACTGCGATGCGATTATAAAACGATTATCGATGCATCTCGATGCATCTTTTTTTTCTATACAGGATTTCTATTTTCTTACTGTCTGAGGACTTGGTAGTTTTAAAGCAAAGTATTTGTAATGATCTATAATGCATTTACGTCCAATATCTTTTATTAATTAAACAAATGGAAGTGATGTGGCGAGTGAACTGGAAGGCTCTCATTCACTGCTCTTGTTTGGAGACACTGCTGCCACTCATCTGTGATAAAATGCGCTGTTACGGTGAAATAAGATAAGTGGTCACGGATGACCATGCAGCACTTTATATAGTCTTTAGTGATTTCATAACTTCGGTTTTGGTTTCGTGATAGAGGTGGGGGGGCGCGAAAGTCTGCAGGTCACCTAGCAACGAGGTTTCGCCGAGCTAGTAGCGAACGAAAAAGAAAAAGAGAAAGACGAACATTTGGAGATGAATGGACTTATTCGCATTCATAAGCAGCGTAGTTGGTTTCCTGGTACGTTAAATCTGCAACGAGAGACTGTCAAACAGTAAAAAGTTGTGAAGATGAAGTCGCTTCTCTTTCTAATTTTCCCGTTCCACCTTAAATGGTGCCGCTTTTACATTCGGCGCCTCAGTCAGAATTTAAGGTGGAACGGGGAAGTTCAGCAAGAAGCTGGCGAATGAGAAGCGACTGCAGCCTCGTAAAACAGCGGAAAGCTGAGAGACATTTTACAAGAAACTATTCAACTTTTGAGGAAAGGTTTTCTGGCGGAGACGGAAGAAAAGCAGCTATAGCTGAAGCTTAAAGCAGAGTAGAGTAAGTCCTCGTTTTCGTTTATGTTTTTTAGCCTAAACTAGCACATTAACACATACTGGACATAGATGTTGCGGCTCCCAAGGTGATTTGATTTATGTTAAAGGACAAAATGTCTCTTCTTATCATTTGTGTTGTGACTCCTGACCTAACCTGGCTTTAATGCAGAGGGAGCCGGTCGGATTTCTCGCTCGTCCAGTTGTGTTTTTGTTATGTGCCGCCACAGACTGTCCGGGCGCTGCACTTGCCCACGTCCAAGTTCCGCCCTTTGCGTTCCGTCAACATTACGTTATAAATTAAATATTTAGAAAATCGATTTTTGACATTTATGAATCGATTCAGAATCGTCCACGTTCGCATCGCGATGCATCTAAGAATCGATTTTTTCCCGCACCCCTAGTAACAGACTTTACAATAGGAACCAGAACATGGTGGAGCTGGAACGATCCATACTACTTGGGTGAGAAAAAAGAATGTTGACTTAGCACTAGAGAGCTGTACATTCAAGCATCCTTCCTTTGACCACTGCTGTTGTGCCCCCATGTCACTGCCATGGGTCAGTTTTAAATGATGAACCTCAGTGGACCTTACTTAAAAAAGGCATTTATCTTCAGGGACACACATTAACCACCTGTATTTTATACAAATAAAATGGCAAAAGAAGTTGATCTAACTTCTATATGTTCAACATACAAATCTAAAGTGAATAAAATAAAGACTATACTACACTGTAAACAAGCATAAGTTGGCAGAGCTTACTGGTACACATATAACTCAGTTGCTTAATACTTACATTATTAAGGAAGGCAACACTTAATAATGTAAGTAGAGGCTGGCCACAACCAATAGTTTATCTTCATATTACAGATACAGGCTAATATATCAATATCATGGTTAAAATAACATGTAAACAAAACATGTAAAATGCGTGTTTTAAATGCATGCAATCATTTAATCATTTAATATGAAGATAATATTTTATGACCCAAACTAAATAAAAATAAGAAAAACAAGAGCTAACTAAGAAAAACCAGGATGCCAGGAAGCTGAAGAGGAAGACTTATCTACTAGATCAAAACTTTACTACATCAAATGTTATCAGTTTCATGAACTTTAAAAGTTAAACTTAATGTGTTTACTTTTGGAGAACTTAGGAGAATTTCAACTTTGAAGATTTACATTGTACCTGGAAATAAATAAATTTGTATTGATATGTTAATTTTAAAAACATCATCACCATACAACAATATGTTAGAGCATTGCAGTATAACTTTCAGTATAACATAATATTTCTTTAAATTGTAACAGCACAATCCTATAGTGAATTACAGTATAGTTGTGACAAATTTTATAATTGAACATTAATTTTGTTCACCTTTGTATCTTTTGATATAGATTCATGATTTAAATTGAAAAATATTTTTAGAGAGACTCAGCAGCACAACATTCTGCATTATAATCAGTCATTCAACCAATAACAGCAGAAAATGTTAAAATTTTATGAAAACCAAATGTCCAGTTTCAAACATTATGTTATATCTTGCATAGAAAATAGCCACCTTAAATGTTCAAACACCAGAGAACCTGTTTAGGTAATTGGTTTCTGCAGTTCTGCTTTATTACTTTCTGCACTTTTCTGTATTCTGTAATACAATAGTACTGTTAAGACTTAAATAATAACATTGGACTGGTGGTTCTTCTGCAGTAGGCGAGATGGAACTGAGAATAAGATCTGAGTCTTTCAGAGAGGAAATGAAGATTTGTTTCTATTGATATTCTGACATTTTAAATAGAGGGGTTTTGTCACTGCTTCATTGCTGAAAAAGCAAAATATAATTTGAGACTCTGTATTTAGTGATTTATCTCTAATGAAAATGTCTATCTTTGCAGAAGACTGTGGTCGTCTTCACTTTGATTAGATAATTAACGTTTATTCAACCTTTTCTTACTCAGTAGCAATTAATAGGATAAACTTAGGAAATGTTATAGACTTCTACTACTAATTTCAGTAATGTAATGACATGCGGTTAAACTGTTTTTTTGACTGCGAAGCACCTCATGGCCCTTGCTCACTCACTCAATCATATATAGCAGGCTGAAAAATCCCCACAAGGGGGTGCAAAATGACACTGTGATTTGCATCAATGCAACTGGGCCTCCTTGTTTTTCAGCTCATCACAAGTTGTCATTGCAGATGTGGTTGACAGCTGTTCTACAAGACAAACACACCTTTAAATGCAGTACTACCATAATTTAAAAAGGCCTAGATTCTACATTTTTCTTGTATTTTATTTTTCCTTTAAGGTCCACTTGTTTATGTACCAAAAACAGTTATAATTAATTTGTGCATCATTTTTACAGTTTTTCACCTGACACAGACTGTTCAGTTACACCAAGTCAAAATAAATAGCTGTTGTTTGGATGTAATCAGCAATGTCATGCCCTTCTTGCACCACTGTACTATTCTGCTACCAGTTAATCGCAATTTACTGATACCTTGGCTGTTTACTTTTATGGTGTGAACAACATATATATATGTTGTTCACACCATAAAAGTCAAACCACAAACTCTGCATAGAGCAAACTTAAATATGGCTGCTGAGTGTAAGCAAAATGCCCTGAGACATTTGAAAAGTCAAACAATGTATTACACTCTGGAATTCTCTACATCTGACTTGTATTAAGGCCTAAAGAGTCAAATAAGCTCTCTGAGACCTTACATAAAAATAACACTGGTGCCTCAACTGAAAGGGATGCCAGACTTTGCACATGTTATTTAATTTATTTATGTATTTTATTTTATTTTTTTAATAGTTTTTCCAATATATTAAATTCAGCAAATGGTACATTATTGAGCTGGGTGCCCAAACTGTTGCATATATGATCTTCATTTAAGTCATAATGGTAGATAAAAAGAACCTAATAAAACAAATAACACAAACAAATTTATAGTTTTTCATTTATTTATTGAAGAAAGTGATCCAACATAATATATTTTGGTTGGCAAAATTATGTGAACCTCAAGAATTAACAGCTTGGTATAGCTGATAATTAGGGTCAGAAATCAACTGGATGACAATCAGATGTTAGTGTGGCTGACCTTACCCTATTTAAAAAAATTCTTCACTATCAAAGTTGGGTCTGTACCATACAGAACTGTTAATGCATGCCATGACTCAATCAAATGAGATTTCCAATGACTTCAAAAAAACATTTTCTAACATTCATTAGGCTAGAAGAGGTTCCAAAATTAGTTCTGATGTACAAATTGTCAACCTTCCCAGCAATGGTCATCCAAAAGAAATGACTCCAACAGTAAGCCGCATAATATCCTGTAACATCAAAAAGACCTCCACCCCCCCAAAAAAGATAACAACCCAAGGTTACATCTAAGGATCCGCTGGCCTCTCTTACAGTGGCTAATATCAGTGCTCAGGTGTCCACCATCAGGCAAGCACTGAACAGGGATAGTATGTATGGAATGACAGCATGGAGAAAGCCACTACTCTCCAAGAGGAAAATTACTGCCTGTTTCAAGTTTTCTAAAGATCTCCAAGATGTGCCAAAAGACTACTAAAACAATTTATTTTGTGGACAGATGTTTGTGGCTTAAATGAGAAATGTTAAGTTTGGCAAAAATCGAACACTGCATTTCAGCATAAGAACCTCATCCCAACTTTGAAATATGGTGGTGGCAGTATCATGGTTTGGCACGGTTTTGCTGCTATTGGACCCAGACAGCAGGGGATCATTTGATAGAGCCATGAATTCTGGATTGTATGAAGAAATTCTACAGTAGAATGTTAGGATATCCATTCACGAGCTGAACCTCAACAGAAGGTGGGTCCTGCAGAAAGACAACAACATCAGTTAAGCAACAAAGAATGACTGAAGCAGAAGAAATGTTACATTTTGGAATGGAGTCAAAGTCCAGACCTTAATCCAATATAAATGTGGAGGCAGAACCTAAAG